GCATCAGGGAAATCCAAATCAAAAACTCAATGAGATACCACCTCACACCAGTCAGAATGGCTAAAATTAACAAGTCAGGAAACAACAGATGTTGGCGAGGATGCGGAGAAAGGGGAACCCTCCTACACTGCTGCTGGGAATGCAAGCTGGTGCAGCCACTCTGGAAAACCGTAAGGAGGTTCCTCAAAAAGTTGAAAATAGAGCTACCCTACAACCCAGCAATTGCACTACTGGGTATTTACCCCAAAGATACAAATGTAGTGATCTGAAGGGGTACGTGCACCCCAGTGTTTATAGCAATGTCCGCAATAGCCAAACTATGGAAAGAGCCAAGATGTCCATCAGCAGATGAGTGGATAAAAAAGATGTGGTGTATATATACAACGGAATATTACGCAGTCATCAAAAAAAAAAAGAAATCTTGCCATTTGCAACGACGTGGATGGAACTAGAGGATATTATGCTAAGTGAAATAAGTCAATCAGAGAAAGACAAGTATCATATGATCTCACTGATATGAGGAATTCTTAGTCTCAGAAACAAATTGAGGGTTCCTGGAATGGTGGGGGGTGGGAGGGATGGGGTGGCTGGGTGATGGACACTGGGGAGGGTATGTGCTGTGAATTGTGTAAGACTGATGAATCACAGGCCTGTACCTCTGAAACAAATAATACATTATATGTTAAAAAAAAAAAAAGAAAAAAGAAAAAGACAGTAGGAAGGGAAAAATGAAGGGGGGAAATTGGAGGGGGAGATGAACCATGAGAGTATGGACTCTGAGAAATAAACTGAGGGGTTTAGAGGGGAGGGGGGTGGGGGGATGGGTTAGCCCGGTGATGGGTATTAAGGAGGGCACATATTGAATGGAGCACTGGGTGTTATTCGCAAACAATGCATCATGGAACACTACATCAAAAACTAATGATGTAATGTACGGTGACTAACAAAACATAATAAAATAAAATTATAAAAAAAAGATTAACTTAGTGTTGGATAAAGTAATAAAATTGGGTAAATGAATGAAGCACAAAAATAAAAGCTAAATTTCACACAAAATTAAGAAACTCAATAGGAAATATTTCAAAATCTGGGTTGATTACTGAGATTATGAAAGATATAATTAGACATAATGGGCCAAAGGCTTTAGGAAGTATGAAAAGGTAAGCTAGAAAGTAGAGAATTACCCTCAGGTGGGTTGCCAGGGCTCCTCCATTCAGAAGAGAACTAGTATATGGTGTGACAGCTGAAATGAGATTGATTTGAGAGAAGGAGGTTCATAATAACATATTAAACGTCAATTCCAATATAACTTCAAATACAACAGAAATGAAGTAGTTTAGATCTCCCAACCAAACTGAGGCTTATAATTAATTTATACTCCTGAAATTTGAAAGTAAACTTCTAAAACCAAGCTATTCCTTCATGTGCATAAAACATTTATAACCCCTTGTGAAAATAATTATTACAACAAAAACAAGCTTTGAAATTTCAAAATAAAAGTTCAAAGATAATTTTCTCATCCAGAAAGAACTGAGACTATTTATAATTGCTTTAAAGAAAATAAAATACTTAGGTATAATCTAACAAAACCTGTATGGATCTATATCCTGAGAGTGACAAAATGATGATGGAAGAAATCAAAGATGACCTAAATAAGTGGAAGAATATACTGTGTTCGAGAGTAGGAAGGTTCAACACATCATTTCTCCACAAAATGATCCATGTTTAATGCATTTCCCATTAAAATCCCAGGAAGGTGTTTGTAGACAAAGACAAACTTATCCTAAAGTTTATATGGAAAGGCAGAGGACCCAGAATACTTAAAATAGCTAAACTTTTAAAAATAAAGCATAACATGAGACAAATCACTCTACCTGATGTTAAGGCTTATTATGTTGCCTATAATTATGTAATGTGTGGTATTAGCAGAGGGACAGACAGAAAGATCAATAGAACAGACTAAAGAATCCAGAAATAGACCCATAAAAACATGCCCAACTGATTTTTGACAAAGGTGCCAAATTCAATGGAAGAAGGTTACTGGAGGAACTTTGCAACAAATGGTTACTGGAGTAACTGGACACAACAGGTAATAAAAAAAAAAAAAAAACCTCAACCTAAACCTCACATCTTATACAAACATTAACTCAAAATGGACTTGAAAGTCAAACACAAAATCATAAGATCTTTGGATAAAAACACAGTAGAAAATCTCGGCGGCTACAGGCAAAGGGTGATAAAAATAGGCAAAGAATTCTTAGACTTTATACCAAAGCATAATCCATAAAAGAAAAATCTGATAAACTAGATTACATCAAAATTTAAAACTTTCCCTCTGAACAACCCTGTGAAGATGAAAAGACCTAAGCAACAGACTGAGAGAAAATATTTGCAAACCACATATCTGACAAAGGACTTGTAACTAGAATAAATAGGCAAAAAAAAAAAAAATGACCAACATGAATAGAATCTACAGATGGCAAATAAGCACATGAAAAGATGTACATCATTAGCCATTAGGAATGATACAAGTTAAAACCATGAGATAGCACTAAACACCTATCAGAATGGCTACAATGTAAGAGTGATAACATCAAAAGCTAGCAAGGATGCAGAGAAACTGGATCAATTACACATTGCTGTTAGAAATGTAAAATAGCACTGCCACTCTAAAAAGAGAACGACGTTTCTTACAAAACCAAAAATGCATTTATCATACAACCCATCAAGTGCACTTTCAGGCATATATCCCAGAAAAATGAAAATTTATGTTCACACCAAAAACTGTATAAGAATAATCACAGCAGCATCATTAGTTAATAGCTAAAAACCGGAAACAATGGGATGTACCATAACACTCTCTGATATACCCATACCATGGAATACCACTCAGGAATAAAAAAGGAACAACTATTGATATATACCACTTGGATGGAGCTCATGGAAAAAAAAAATGAAATCTATTCATCTCAAAAGGTTAAATACTACATGATTCCACTTATATTAACATTCTTAAAATGACAAAATTACAGAAATAGTGAACAGATTAGTGGATGCCACAGGTTAGAGAGAAGGCAAGAAGGTAGCTGTGCCTTTAAAAGCTGGTAACACAGGATCCTCGTGATGGAATTGTTCTGCATCCTGACTCCGGTGGTGGTCACATAAATCTACACATGTGGTAAAATTGCAAAGAACTAAACACATACACACATGCAAACACGAATGCATGTAAAACTCGTGGAACCTGCTTAAGGTTGATGGATTGTATCACTGTATCCAAACCAATTTCCTGGTTGCAATATTATATTGCAGTTATGCATTATGTTACCACTGCAGAAACTGGATGAAGCATATATGGGATCTCTATATATAATTTTCATACAAAGGCATATCAGTCTATAATTAACTCAAAATAAAAAGTTAAAAACTTTTTTACCTCCAGTAAGAAAAGAATGGAGGACACTATACAGTTAACTATTTTAAAGACATCACTACAGATGACTGATTTTCATGCTCCCAAGTGGGCAGTTACATAATTAACCTCCATACTACTACTCAGAATCCAAAGACTTGTTTTTCTTCTCTTCCTTCTTTCTCCTCTTTCCCCCAACACTCCATAAACCTCCTTCATAACTGGCTATGAGAGAACCATAGCATATGTGTGTGTGTCTACATTGCGACACCGTGTTCTCTCTAGTTTTATACATACACAGGTGTTTTTTGTTTGTTTATCATTATTAGCATTCTGTGCTCTTGGTTCCCAATTTTAAAATTCATGATACAGCACATTTTATACTCCTCTTTAAAAATAATTAAAATGTTTGTCGTTTTTTGTGACAATAATTGCTTTCAGACTCTGCCCCCACCCCACCCCAAGTTAAGTGGCCCTTTAAAAAAAAAGTTTCTACATCTTTGCTCTACAGTTTGGGTTGATCACTGGTGAAGCCTACACAACAGGGTAACTTCTGTGCACTGAAAACAGAAGATAACAATTGCTAATTGTATAGAATAAGTTAGGTACTTTTTCTAATCACTGAGGTACACCGTGTTAGTAAGCCATTGCCCCTGGGCTTAGCATCGGCATACCAAACATGGTATAGTATACAAAGAAGCACTATAACATACCATGTATTAAAAACACGTAATTAATACATTGCAGAAAGTTAATTTATTTGTAGTTCTGACTTGCACTTGTTCAGAAAGCTCTACTAGCAGGCATTATTCCTGTACTTTTCCCCTAGCTTTGCTTTCCAAACTACTCATCAATTTTCATAAGCCCTAACTCAGGGCTTCTGTTTGATATACATATATACACACACATATATTCACATATACATTGTATACATATTTAGTTCTATGCAATTTTATCACATGTACGCGATACACACACGTACAAGGTAGCATCTAATACAAATTCTTTGTGTAACAGTCATGGGGTAGTACTCTTTTTTCAACTTGTTTCAAGAACAATATCTTTTTAAAAGCTCTGCTATATTCTCAGACTAGTTAACAACATTCTTCCACCTACCTCTCATATTAGTTTCTATCTGGGGGAATAAGGGAAAGCCCTGCCCCCAAAAATGTCTTTTACAAATGTTCTAAGAAATAAAAACAAAGTATTTTTCATGTGGCATTTCTTACACAATGGCCCCAAATGTCAGTTTTATACACTACAGCTATTAGTGTATCATTTTCAATTTTAGAAAAACAATCAAATAATCAAATAATGTATTTCTCCAAAATGACTAAGATTCATGGAATTAAACACCCATTCATTAACAGGTGGCCCATTAACGTGTAAATTTTTTGTATCTTGCTCTTAAATATACAATCTTAATTTTTTCCTAATCTCTTAGAAAGATAATTTTAAAAATATTTTAAAAAATAGTTTTCATTCCCAACCATATGCTGAACTGCAATAAGCAGTCTTAATAGAGCACATTAAATATCCAATGAAAAACAACACAAAACAGCACAATTAGAAGCTGTATAAGTTTTACCTTAATTCTTCTCTCGGTGTCATCTAATTTTAACTCTGCTGAAACTAGTTTCTTTGCCAAATCATCTCGCTCAGGTAGGTGTCTAGCTTCAGACATCTTTTTCAGTTTCTGTAAGGAAAATTTTGTCCTAAATAGTTCACCTTCTGTATCTTTTACCCTTTTCTCAGTTGCCCGTTCTTTCTCTTGAGATTTTCTTAAGCGTTCTTTGAGTGCTGTAATCTCATTGTTATGACGAGCAATAAGTTGTGAGATTTCATTTTCTGTATCTTCAAACTTATTCAGGGCTTTCTCCTGTCTGTATTGAAGCCTTTTCAAAGCCTTATTTTCTTTTAGGAGCTCAGCTAACTTGACCTGGAGTTCAGTTACTTCATTCTGCAATTCATTGATTTTTAGCAGTCTTGCAGAAAGAACCCGTTTTGTTACAAGATCAGTATCTTTCCGAAGTGGCTCCCTATTGAGGCTCTGGGAGCGAAATCCCACTCGGACTCCCCTTCTGTTTGGTGGACCCTTAGGGCTTGGCTTCCTAGGGGCTAAAAAAGAAACAGTAATAATGTAAAGTGAAAGCTGGACCAATGTAATATTATTTATTCATTCTAACACAAATGGATCTATAACATTCTTTATTTTGTTCCTTAAAAAATGATCTTACAATATTTAAGTATCAAGTTTTATTTAGACTCTTAATATACTGTTTTCATTAAGAAAGGTTCAGAATCCTTTTTAAGAAAGGTCAAGAATATTATGACTTATCAAAATGTTATCCCAATGGTTTACAGGAAATTATTTTACATTGCTTTAAAAAATGGCAGCATCAGACTATGGACTCTGAGAAACAAACTGAGGGTTCTAGAGGGGAGGGGGCTGGGGGGATGGGTTAGCCTGGTGATGGGTATTGAGGAGGGCACGTTCTGCATGGAGCACTGGGTGTTATACGCAAACAATGAATCATGGAACACTACATCAAAAACTAATGATATAATGTATGGTGATTAACATAACATAATGAAAAAAAAATGGCCAGCATCAAGCTTTACCATTTTTAACTTTATACGTAAGATGGCAAGCCAGAATTCGAACACGAGCATCATCAGCATCAGCATGGGATTTAATAAACACTGGACAAAATACTGTGATACTCAAGTAATTTATGCCAAGATATTTGGGATTATAATTTGGAATGTGGAAATGTATGTTTTCTCTAATTAGAACTCTTTTTCTTTATTTGGGGAAACAAGACAACACACTGTATGACAAGAAGACTTGGGTTTGGGACTTTGATTTACCACTTAATAACTCCTTGGGCAATTTTGCTAAACCTTTCCAGGTCTATTTTCCCCACCCGTAGAATGAGGATAACACCACCTACATAACTAGGTTGCTGTGAGGATTAAACAAAGAATGCATGTAAAAAAGGAATTCTCCACAAATATTCTCTGTCAGTAATAACTTAATCCCATTTATCAGTGATTGAAAATGACACTTTTAGCAGTACAGATGTGATTTTAAATGCTTGCTCAGGGGCTTTCTTTTGTGTGAGGTTCAAATCAAAAACATTTGACATAATTTGAGAACAAGATAAAAACAAAAACCTACACCCTAAAAAATATAGGCATATGAAATCTTTAAACTGTACATATTAAATAACATTTCACAAAAATTTGAAATGTCATTATTTTTACTACAAGTTCATTAAACTTAGACCCCAACATACAAAGCACCTGCCTTTTAAAAAGACATATGGAAGTCTGCCTCAGTTGAGAATAATGAACTTTAATCTCCAAGGTGACTGCATTTTTTCCAAGAAGGAAATGCATTCCAGAGGGGGGAAAAAAAAAAAAGAAAAACTAGAAAACTCAACCTTTCCCTACCCTCTCTCCAGCCATGGATACCTTGATTCCATTATGTAAACAGGTGAAGAGTAACAAGTAATATTTACAATTTATATTACAAAGTTTCATTTAAAAAAATGAAAGATTCTAAAGAATGTGTTTTGAATGTGTACTGATTTGGGATTTCAGTTCTATAATTGTTTGAATACACAAAAGGACGTGGTAATAATAAGAAATGGGGGGAAAGCCTGTAAGTCTGAACTACACTTTCCAATATAGTAGTAGTCACTAGCCACATGTGGCTTGAGAGATTTGAAATGTGGATAGTCCAAACTGAGATATGCCATAACTGAATTTCAAACACTTAGTTCAAAAAAAGATGCATAATGTTTCAAATACAGTGCTTTTAACTACATTTTAAAATGATATTTTGGATATTTTGGATTAAATAAAATATACTATTAAAATTAATTATATCTGTTTTTCTTTTTTAATGTGGTTATCAGACAATATAAAATTACATGTGTGGCTTGTGTTTGTGACTTGCATTATATTTCCCCTGGACAGCACTGCTCCAATTTTATTTATTTATTTTTTAAGAGTAAGCTTTTTTTTTTAAGATTTTATTTATTTATTTGACAGAGAGAGACACAGCGAGAGAGGGAACACAAAGCAGGGGAGTGGGAGAGAGGGAACACAAAGCAGGGGGAGTGGGAGAAGGCAGACGCTTAACGACTGAGCCACCCAGGCGCCCCAGCACTGCTCCAATTTTAAATTGGGGCATCCATCATTTCAATTTTCTTTCCTTCCCAACACACTGAGTTAACAGTTTTGGTATCCATATACTTTCACGAAATATGTACGTACTCAATTCTTGGAATGACAGAAACTTTATACATATATTCTATTAGCATGACTACAAACTGATCATAAAAAGTATACTTAACCTGAACTCAAAAATATTTTCTAGCTGCCATTTACTTTTTTTTCATTTTTAAAACTATCAAGATGAATTACAGTGCTAATAAGAGAAAAGATGATTGACTGTCATGTGTATCACTCTTCATTTACCCCTTGTTAAGTCACTATGAAAAAGAGCGTGAGAAAATATTGTTTTTTCTTCCTTCAGGTGATAAAACTAAAACATGACTCCTTTAAGAAACACATAGTAAAGATGAATTATCCAACTATAAAAGACTTAAGATGTTTATACTATTGATAAAACATGAAATATAAATATATAACATGTAATATATAAACATGTATAACTATTAAATTTTATCATGAATATAACTTTTGATAAAGCAACAATTTTATTTTAAAAAATAATTAGATATGCTGAAAATTAAAAAGAGGAAGAATGTTATCAAACATGCAAATCCACAAATTCAAGTGTTTAAGATGCTATTTTAATCACATTTGTTCTTTCCTTAGTTGACTGTACACTGCCAGCTTAAAAAGAAACTAATTCAGTGTTTAAGGAAACACTAAAGTGTTTAACTGTAATTTGTGTGGTCCTATTGATTGATCTAAGGTAGACAAATTATCACAGACTTTAATTCAGAAGACAAAACAAAGGAGAAAATAGTACAAGTCAGATTGAAGATAATAACTGAAATTTTCTGCATCACGTTAGAACTGTTTCTCAAAGCTTTTTCTCAATTATCTTCTTAGATAAGGTTAAGAATTTCTGACTCCTTGGGGCGCCTGGGTGGCTCAGTCGTTAAGCGGCTGCCTTCGGCTTAGGTCATGATCCCAGGGTCCTGGGATCGAGCCCCCACATCGGGCTCCCTGCTCGGCGGGAAGCCTGCTTCTCCCTCTCCCACTCCCCCTGCTTGTGTTCCCTCTCTCACAGTGTGTCTCTCTGTCAAATAAATAAATAAATAAAATCTTAAAAAAAAAAAAAAAGAATTTCTGACTCCTTAATTAGGTGGGCTCCTAAATTTCTTCTGGGGGAGTAGTGAAAAATTAAAGTATTCCTACCAATAATACCAATAATTCCCCAAATATGTAAGTTATTTCTTAGGAATAAATAGGCATTTTCTAAGGTTCAACCCTATAGTCTATCTGTTCTTAATTAGATAGCAAAAGTTTAATATCAGATCATGCATTCAAACACAAAATCAAAACAAGAGGCTCACACTGAGACAGATTTGGAGGAAAAGAACAAAAACCTGCAGCACTGTACAGGCAAAAGAAAGAAAGAAAAAGAAAAAACAGCTAACTGTTGTAAGAATAACATTCCTAGGAAGTTAGATCAGGGTCCGCAAGAGGGATGCTTTCAAAAGTAAAATATTCTTTCCAGAGTATTTTTTTAAAGCAAATACTACTTTTCAAAGTAAAAATTTATAAAGGCACATTTAATTATACCCCTGCTTTAATCTGTTCAATAGCTAACTATTTCCCCACAGAAACAGACAGCCAATATATTATAGGTTTCAAGGTGTTTCATGACCTGACTGACCTGTTTTCCTTTTCGACTTCCAATTTTACCCCTCCCTGTGCCTTACAATCTAAACTCTATATAATCCTTCTAAGCTAGTGTTGTTATAACTGTGCTGTATTCATTAATGTATACTGTAATTACCTCATTTACCTTAGCTTAATTTTCTATGGTGTATTTTTCTATGGTTGTCCTTAGATACTTTGTTACTAAGTACAACTGGGGGTTTCTGACCAGAAATTCATTAAGATGAAGAAGAGATTTCTAGAACAATACCTTGTCAAATTATGTATTAACATGTAGTTCCAAACTAGGAACATTTTAATAAGACAAATTATTTCTAATGATTAATCCTGTTTCCATTATAACACAGTTTTACAGAAAACAGAGTGGTAGTCCCAAGTCCCAAACTCCATTTCTAGATTTAATTCAAACTTTTGCAGTAAGCACTGTGTAGCCTAGAGGAAGTAATTTTACTCTCTATATAAAAATGTCCCTTAACTACTTTATAGCAATGTCATTTGCTGCTTTTTAGAGGTGAAGATTAAAAAAGGTATAAACATTTTGTGATTTTTTTTTTTTTTTTTTTTTGCCTTCACAGTACCTCAGCAACACCAAGACAAACATTTATTTAGGGAGAACAAAATGAGAAGGCTTATTAATGGTTCCTTCTTCTGTATATAGTATGATTTTGATTATAACAAAGGATAACACACAGCACCATAGGCAACAACTATATATAACACTATATATACAACTATATATATATATATATATATATATATACATACAACAATTATATATACAAAAATACATCTTATTCAAAATGTAGATCAGCCCATTTCCATGCATATATCCATACATACATAATAACAGAAGTTTCATTCATACAACTTTCCTAAAAACTCAAAATGAGTCTTCTAGGTCCACTGGACTCTTAAAGAATGCTTACCTTGATGATGCACTTGGCTATCTGAAATTTGTCTTTTAGGATTTTTTCCCTTAATACCCGTAGGTGAAGAACTGACCAGCGATGACCGGCCAGAAGACTGTGGGGTAGATCCAAAATCAGATGAACAATAAGAGTAATGGTATTTGCCTGTCTTACTTTCTTGATCATTATCTGGACTTCTTTCTCTTTCCCCCATGGTTTTGAAAAATAGTTTCTATTCACATAATTTCACAGATTCCTTTTTCCAAAAAACTCCATGACAAGCCTGAAGAGCAATGTTTAGAGTCTTCAGATCCTGGTGATAATATTCATGTCTGCACTTTGTTTCTCTAGGTATCTGTAGTAGAGATTAACACATTAGCAACCAGAAGATACACTTTTTGCCCCTACAATTAAGGAAGGGGAAAGGAAACTCATTATATCTCGTGAAATACGTTTTACGGTTAATTACAATGAAAGATACTAAAAGCAAATAATATACTGTTTATAATTTTTAAAATTCACCTATATTTTCACACATTGTTATTTATACTATTTGGAGAATAGACAGAATGTTGTAGGCTGGACAGAGAACATGTAAAATGCCTGACATATAATTGTTTTTGAATAAAAATTAACTGAATTTGACTCCCTTGAATCTTAAGATTTATAATAAAGACAAATGCTGATTTTTGACAGACATATAATGACCAAATCACCATTTTTTTCTTTTCTGGGGAGGCAGGTGGTGGTTAAGGCAAGCCTGCCTACAGGAACAACAACAAAAAAAACCTAACTACATAAAAGTGTAAAACTAAAGTATGTAAAAAATTAATCAAATTAAAACACCTGAAGAAAAACATTTGCAACATGACAGAAAAATGGTTACCATCCTTAACATATATAACTCATACCACCCCATAAGAAAAATATGAGGTCAAACGTTGAATGAGAAAATACATGTTAAGACCCACAATGGGCAATACAAATGATATGCACATAAAAATATTCAACTTCAGATACCATTTTTAAACTTACCAATTATCAACGATTTTTCAAAACAACACTCAATGCTGCTAAAATGCCTATCAAGAAAAGATCCACAGGATTTTTGTAAAAAAAGTTGGCAAGATGTATTAAAACTTTAATTGCACTTTTAACCTTTGATCCGATAATTCCATTCCTAAATAACAAGAAAATAATCCTAAAACACAAGAAAAGTTATATACAAATGTTTATGCAGTACAATTTTTTGAAAGATTTATTTACTTGAGAAAGAGACAGAGAGCATGCAACCAACTGTGACACCCAGGTTCCCCTATGGTACAATTTTTTTTAAAAACAGAAGCAACGTAAGTGTCAAACAATTGCAAAATAATTAAGAATGCTGTAAAAATCAATACAGCATAATATCATGCTGTTGTTAGAAACACTTACAAAAAGTCTGTGTTACCAGAGGAAATGTTTATAGTACTATGGTAAAGACAAAATTCAAACTAGTGAATACAATATGACCTCAACTATACATATCGATTGAAAATACTGAGTATTCTCCCCTCAGAAACTGAAAAAAATTGTAAAGTACGAGATACATATACACCAAAATAGTATCTGGGCAACATGAATTTTAGATGATTTTCTTCTCTGTATATTTTTATTTTCCAATAAAATAAAATTGGATTACCTTTTGCATTGGAATAATTGTTTTTAATATTCAGAAAAAAAAACAAAAACCCCATTGATGAAATTAGTATTTCAAGTATAGTGGTTCTAGTACTATATGGAAAAAGACCTATGTACAATGCAGCACTACTACTGTTCACTACAGCAGTATTACAGTGGTAGACAGGACTAAAACAATCAGAAGGACCATCAGTAAGGAACTGGCAACATACAACCACATAATGAAGTACAGTTATTATGAAGCTACTAAAGGAATGAGCACTACCTCTGTGTTTTTTCTGCAGTCTGGAGTGATCTCCACAATATACTAAGAAAAGAAATATGGACAAAACATGTATAGTATATTACCATTATCAAAAAGAGAAGATTACAAGTTTGTATACATAATGCTTCATATTTTTAAAAAGTAAAAGGATAAACTAAACACTTACTGGGAAAAAAAAGGGTTCTGTAAGGCAAGGCTGTCCAATACAACTTTCAGCAAGAATGGAAATGTTTTATAATCTGTGCTGTCTGGTATGGTAGCTGACCACACATGGCTACTGAGCACCTGAAATATGGCAAATGTGACTGAAGACTAATTTACAATTTTGTTGAATTTTAATTAACTTAAGTTTTAAAAGCTATACATAATGGTGTTTGGCTCATTGAATCTCAATGATCTCATTTTTAAAGGAAATAATAATAGTAACAGAATAGAAGAATTAATGTGACAGTTAATTCTAGAGTCTATTCTAGTCTATTCTAGACTAGAATTAATGTGATAGTTAAATAGGATAATTCAATAACTATGACACAATAAACACTCAGTAAAAATCAACAATTACATTTACAATTCAAACATACAAGATGCTTAGTAAATTGATTGATATTCCTTGTCAAAGACTCAGTTTTAATTACAATATAATTAAAAGCTGATCATATGGTATAAATGAGGATTATTTGTTTACACGCATATAGCAGAAGTAGCTCCCTATGGCCTGTCCCATCTTAATCAGAGATGCCACCTAACTTTTCACTGCAAAAGACAGACCCCACAAAACATTACCTGCCGTTCATCTCCTATGCACCAGCACTCATTCTTCTCCACCCCTGCCTCAAATATATGCATATAGTTTCTAAAAAAAAAAAAAAAGGAAACATCCACTGCCCCATTATTCAAGTCCTTCTCCCTGGGATGGCTATTTTAGTGGCTTATACTTTCATGCCTATGCTATTTCTTGAATTCGCAATTTAAGACCATGAAAGATGGGGATTTAACTGTGACTCATTTTAAATGGTTGCAACATGCAATGACTAGTTAGTTATGGAAGGTTTTTTTCTTGGAATTCCTAATTGTCCTTTATTCTTACTGAAAAGAAAAAACAATCTTCCTATATCACTAATATTTACCTAGCTTGCTAGTCATTCTACCTATAGCCTTGAAATCCATTCCATTCCTCCTCTTAAAACCATTTTTCTTAGAGATCAATTATTTCTGATTCTATTTTAAACCAATTATTCTGTAGACCTGTGGTACCACTGTCATTCTCGAATCATTTTTATAGTACTTCTGAGTTAATCCATTTCTAATAGCTCATGTCATCATCTTTATTAGTTTTGATCACCATTTTACTTCTCCATATCCTCAAATAATTCCACAGAAGGGGTAAAAAGGTTGAGATAAATGCTCTGAGTCCTTGTATGCCTAAGAATGTCTTTATTTTGCCCTCCAATTTGGTAGTTTTCTAAGTTCTGCATTCTAAGTTATCTTTCTCAGGACTTTAAAGACACTGTTCCACTGTCTTCCAAACTCTGAGGTTCTTAAAAGATGTCATACTCTTTTTTATCCAACATGTATTTCTTTTGAGCTCTCACCATGTAACCATAATGAAAATATCAACCACAAAAATCCCTGCCATTACGGAGTTTACACTCTAGTTATGCTCATCTGATTCTCATTCCCTTATAGGTTATCTTTTTCTTTTCCTCCCTAGGAGTTTTTAGGATTTTCCCTCCTCTTATACTGCAATCCCACAACATGTGTAGGTGTGAGTCTTTTTTCATTAATTGTGTTGCCCCTTTATTTCCCTCTTCCTTTTAATATTGAAACAAGTATCTTTAAGCACTAGAAATGAGTGCTTTTCTGATAACTGACTTTCCTGTTTAATCTTTCTAAGACTTCTACTGGCTAAATAACAGACTGCTCTGTTTTTCTATTTTCACTCAACTTATCTTTTAACTATCCAGGGTTGTTGTGTTTTTGTTTACTTTGTGCAAACATGTTAAGTTCCAAGAATTCTTTCTTGTTCTGGTTTTTTTAAATAATTATCCTGTTCTTGCTTTACTGAGGCAATATATTTTCATTTCTCTGAGAACACTAAATAGACATTTTATTTAAAGTCTCTTCTGATCCAGGAACTCGGTTTCACATGGTGACAGTTTTTCTTTTTACCACTGGCTTTTCATTTATATATGGTTTTATTTCTTTGAAGTAATTTTCAGTTGTCCATTGATATATAAAAAAGAGAGAAAAAAGAATAAATTGAAAACAGGTACTTATGAATAGGGTTTCCTGACAGGCACACTCTGCTTTAGGATGAATAGCAGAGAATCAGCCATTTTCCAGGGGACTCCCTAAAAGCTAGAATTAGGAGGGATAATCTCCAGACACAAATATCCACCATGACAACTCTACTTCTCTTTTAGGGTTGTCTTTATTTTGATTTCCTCAAGAAATTACTTCCATATTTTTTGATGGGAAAGAAAGGGAGTGGTGAAGAGCAGAGAATATTACACCGAGGCACTGCGTATGGGATTGGGTAGGAAAGAAGGCATAAGTATTACATAGTTTTTCAACTATTCTTCCTTCTCGTTTTCAATTATCCTTTCTCTCTGACTTTTCAAATTCTAAGATCCTCTAAGATTCTTTTGGATACACCTGAATCTGTCTTTGCTGTAGTTCCCTCTTGAATATTTTCAGACACGGTTTTCTCTGTTTCAATGTGTTTCATCTATTGTTACTCTTTTCCTTTTTCAGAAATGTGCGGTGATGTCTTATCCACTGAGAGTACCCTAATATCCCTTCAAAGTCATAGGTTCATTCTGTTGTTTTTCTTTAATATACTTTTAATGTGGTCTTCAAGAAGAGAGAAGAAAAACACAAATCTACATCTTTAATAACAAATATATTTTAAAGCCAATTATTTCAAACAGTTATTCTCACCCTTTTAAGACAACTTGATATAAGCAATCACTTTTCCAAAGTCCAAGAAACTACTATTCAATTCATGCACCAATTCAGTCAACAAAAATTACTGATGGTACAGATGTCATTATACACAATGAGGAAAGCAATCTGAGCAAGAATACACTGAGAGTTCTTTTAGGGCAGGGTCTGGCTCTTCCATCAAAGAGAGACAATTAAGAAAAAGTAATAATATATTACGTACATATCATTTATATAGTCCCTAAAAATATTACCTGTTAGTTATATGAAAAACCTTTCTTAATAGTAACAAAAAAATACAAGAGTAACCCCCAAAATACTAGACA